ATGATAACATCACAAGTCTTCTGTTTCACGGTGCACATCGTGCAGAAATTATAATGCCCTTGGGTGATTCTTCTGTCTTTAGAGCCAATAATAATCGTCGCACAATATATGAGAGTTGATCCCCACATCAGGATATTCAACCTTGTCACCACCAGTCTTCAGCATCATTTTGGTCTATATCCTCTTCACTACGATATACTATATTCACAACACTTCTTTTAGGGCACTGATTGGATCGATGACCAGGTTGACTACATCTGTAGCACTTGATTGGATCGGGTTTAGCATATAGGTTTGATGGTGTAACCTTCTTTGTTGTTGTTGTTGTCAGTCATGTACCCTTCTTAGCTGTAGAATCTTGATCAGATGCAAATTGAGACTGTTTGTTCTAGCCACAATTAAAATTCTTGCGCGAACCATCAGAAGCTGCCAATGTTCCTAAATTATTCTGTCTACGTTGTCACTCCGTCTTTTCGGATAGGCTGTCTGCCAAAGTATATGTCTGTTGTAAAGACACGATCTTGTATCGCCATCCTCAATCCCTTTATGTAACGAGACATCTGTTGGGCTTCGTTCTTATTTAAATTGTTGCAGGGTAATAGCTAATAAAACTCTTGCATGTACTCATCAATTGTTTTTCCACATTGTTTGCAATTCTAGAATTGTCTGAACAAGACTTGCTCATAGTCACTTGGCAGGAATCGGGCTTTTAGCAACTTCTTCATCTTCTCCCACTTATTGACTTTCGGCTTTCATTGACGGAATCGATTTAGGCATACTGATTCTCACGAAGCAGACGCTCCACCCTTAAGTCGGTAGGCCATCAACTTAATCTTTCGCTCATCTGGGATCTCCATATACTCAAAAAACCTCTTCACCTCTGCAACCCAATCAAGAAATTCTTCGATATGTAGTAGCCCATTAAAAGATGGCAGATCCATCTTCATCTTGAACCCTCCAGTATCATAATTGTTTCGTTGTTGGCGTTCTCTGCGATCATCAGCGCAGCGTGGGGCTTCATAGTTATCGCCGTCGCTATTGAATTTATCCTGTGGAGTCAGATCATGTTATTGGCGACCATCAACACGATTTTAAACTCCTACCGCGTTCAGACGCTCCATAGCCAATGCAAGTTGATCTACAATAGTCTTAATTTTGATTAACATCAGTCTTAAACTCATCGAACTCAGTTTGAGAAATAGGGGCTTTATTGTCTGCCATCGGATCGAAAAAACAAGGCTCTGATACCAATTAACACAGTACGGAAGTAAAAGCCTCGGAATCCATCTGGGGGTGTTCTCTGAATCCACAAAGAACGATATTCAAATCCATGAAGAACTTCGAGTTCATGAAGAAAATATTAAAGATGAAATTTATTGATAAAAAAATTATGCTTCTGGGACTTACAATACTCTGCTTAAGTAGAAAATAAACAAGACTCCTACTATGACTTGAACTTTGGCAAAAGTAGAAATAACAAAACTCTTCTTAAAAGACTATGATTAGGGAAGTAAATCGACCAAATTTGGAATCAAATCGGATTTGCTTCCTAATCAAAACAAACTTCTAGAGCATTACCTAAAATAATAAAAAACTAATAAAAACTATTGATATCTCTCAATCCGGAGGGAATTTCACGAAACAAACAGTGGTAAACCGAACAACAATTGGTTTGGTTGACTTCGTCTCGAAAAAATATACTATTTACATATATAATCCGTCCAATTCTGACGTACGGTTTAAGAGATATGACCCATTCTTTATTGCAAGTTATTTTCTTCGACTGGGCCCCTATATGAGCTTTTGACGGTCCCGTTTCTCCATGAATATATCTGCACTGTGTTCTACATCAAACCGTACATGATCAATGCACGCGGGGTCGTCCTCAGGCTTCACATTACGCTGCCAGGTATATTTACATAACTCAACTCAGGACATTCCATCAATTGCCATTTATTATTATCTTGTTCAATACCCACTTCATGTCATGAAGACATGCACAAACACGGTTACATATAGTTCGTCATTGTGTACGTTTCAATAGTACCCCTATCATCTAGTTCTAAATATGTCACATTGTTTACTTACCTAGGTGTCATAATTACCAGCATGTAGTTCATGTCAGGTAAACATGTCAAATGGTTAATTTATTAGCACAGTATACTCGGCTAACTTTACAAATGTGAGAGTATTTTGTCATGCAATAATCAAACATGTATATAGACATGAATAGTATATCAAAATGCTCTCACAGGGGCAACATGGTAGTCAGGGTTGGGTTTGGGGCAATCAGCAGTAGCAACTGGCGGTCAACGCCTAGTCTGCTCACCTTTGACACCCTTTATCGATGGCCGAGTGCTGGCTTGGCGATTGTCTATGGGTCTAGTCGGTGGTTGTTTCCTGGTTTGCAGTAGTATGAGCCTATGAGGTCACCGCTGACTATAGTGGGCTGAGTTGTGCTCTGTCATTAGTCACATCATCATCATTGTTGTTTCCGCCAAAGTTGCGATTTCTGCTGTAGTTTTTAATTTTCTAATAAATATGGTGTGATTCTACAGATCTGATGTGATATATCACATGCAACATGAAAGATATAAACTTTACAAAAACCTAATAAATCAAAACCCTAGTTTATTGTTAGATCTACTATAAAACATGCAGGTCCTATAATATACTGAAATAAGCTTGAAGAAACAACCATACTACAGATCTAAGATGGTACATGGGATAGATCAACAGTAGAATCAATGTTGGGGATGATAAACACGATAAGGAAAACAAGAAACAGGAGCAAGAGCACCTATCTTCTACCAAATAATTACGATGGACCCTGCGATTGACCCGACGATCTGCAACTTCACCAATCTCTTATATGGATAGCTACGACGATCTTCGCCACACAGATTCCACGATCATGCTTTCCAGTGGGTGGAAAGACTCTCTCTCTCTCTCTCTCTCTCTCTCTCTCTCTCTCTCTCTCTCTCTCTCGTTTCCCCATGTGAAGAAGAAGACGAGGGAGGGGTTCTCTTGGTAGCTTTTACACAGAGAGAAGGGAAAACAGTAGGTAGCTTTTGCACAAATAACATGTGCATATATAGTTTCCAGTAAGGGCATGGTTATTAGGTTTGAATTGGAGTTAAATACATATGTGGGTGGGCTTTATAGCTAATCGATTTAAACTTGATTTTATAATCAAAAGCTGATCTTATCCTCGCTACTTTTAGAAGCCTAATAAAACAGCCATCCTATGTGATTACTACTATGTAGAAGTGTTTGCATTTGTTTTGTACTGGCTATGCTTGCAGTTCGGTTGGATTAGGATAAGATTAGTTAAGGTATTTAACTGAAAATTTGTAGTTTAAATAAATAAGAGAACTCCTAGTACTTATTTAAAAACCATTATGGTCATCAATAAGCTATTGTAAAGGCACATGCTCAAGTTTAACACTGGCGCGCTTTTGTTTCTGTTAAATACCTTAACTAAATCAACATTACAAGACTTGGGATATCACAAAAAACAAACAAAAGATATAAGGTGCTTTGTTGGTGAAGTTCATATGCACAAGCAGAGGAGATAAAACCAAAAGTTCATGTGCACGAGCAGTGGGAATGAACGGAAGGAAACACAAATTTAAGAATGGGGCTAATTTGCGCCCACGCGCTTGTAAACTTTGGGGATATTCCGCATAACCCCCCTGAACTTTGTTTATTCACTCAACATCCCTAGACTATGGGGTGTCTCGCATGACCCCTTGAATTTTGAACTTTTCTTTCCGGACTCTCCTACATGTAATTGACAAAGAACTAAAATGACTGAGAGAAAAACCTCGCAATTGGGGGAGGGGTTTTTGCATGTAAATGGCAAATGACAAAATAGGGGGTAGGGGGTGGGGGTCTGACTCTAAAAGACGTTTTATTTATTTGCCAAATTACAGGTAAAGGAGTCTGCTAGAAATAGTTTAAAGTTCAGGGGGTTATGTGAGACACTCCAAAGTTTTGAGGTGCAAGTAAAATAGACAATTTAGGGGGATTATGTGGAAAACCCCGAGAGTTGAGCTAGTTTAAGTGTAATTAATCCTTAATAATTTTTCCTCAAATTGCAAATGTTACACTCCAAACGCATTCTTCACTCACTGAGAAAATTTAGAAGAAATCCTAATGGGATGAAGACAAATCTCCTTCCTTAGACTCTCGACCACTGCAATACAAGACTTTCGACATAGATCCTTTTATCCTTCATTGCAACATGAAACATTTGATAAGGCGCTTCACTGCATGAATTAAATTTTCTCATGTTCTTTAGCATTCATCTACATATAGCATACTATTAATTGTCAAACAATTGACATAGTAATCTCCAAAAATTTAAAGGACAAATTTCAAGATAATAAAGATGTAATGGATTAATATAAAAGAAATCTATCTTTTTATTTGATTTTGTTCCGGGGGTCTCAAGCTAAATAAGTACTTCTAAGAAGCTCGAATTCTCAGTTCCTTCACAGGCAAAGTACCCGAAGAGCTCCATGGAAGCAAAAATGTTCACAGATCAAAAGCGCTGGATTCTAATGGCGATGATGAGAGCTTCAACCAAACATTACTGTGATCAAATATCAGGAAAATGCAACGAAATTATAATCCTTCCTAGCAATGATAGGGATCAGCGTCAAGGGATCAGCGTCAACCTTGATGTGCATAACTTTCCACAACTGCAACTGCCATCATTTGCCATAGCTTCCACAGAGGTCAGATGTGGTTAGAAAATTTTCTTTATCTTCTTGATTTTGTCAGGTTTCTTAAATTTTGTTGTTAAATAATTTTTTTTGGCAAATGCAGGAGGTCTCACTCAATGAGGGGATTAAGATTATGGAGGAAGAAGAGTGTTGCGCACTCGCATTGCTATATAATGGGCTCTTCTGTTGCTGGTTAGTTAGTGCTTAACGCATTGATGTTTACTTGAGGTACATTTTAAGTGCCACATTAAGTTTTTTAGTATAAATTATTTTGAGTCAATGTTAAGTTCAAAAAGTATTTCTTTCTTTGTTAGTTAGGAATTTCTTTAACTTAACAAGTTAATTTGCAAGTAAGGCTATTTGATCTATTCCTTTATTTATCTTTTTCTATTTTCAGCAGAAAGATTAATACTGAATCTTTCTTGTATTGAAATGTTTCTGAAGCATGTTTTAGTTTGTAAATTCTCTTCAGAAGACTGCTACCTACATTGAACTCTGTTATCATTGTGAACTGAACATGCAGAAAGAGCTGCAAGCAGCAAAATATGTTAGTGGGTCTAAATATGTAACCAAAGTGCTTGTTGTTTTACATGACATGTTTTCTTTAGACTTTAAAGATGCAGAGGTTGGCAACCCTTTAGAGAGGGAAGAAACCAGTGGCCTTTAGTTTTCAGTTGCTGAGGATATAATTTACTTCCATACAAGTTGCAACTACTGTGAATATAGTAACTTGTTACTTCCCGTAAAAGATTTCAATTATGCAATTACTTGAAAGACGCAATTACTTGCAATTACTTCATATAGAAGATTTTCCCTCTCAAAAAAGATGTAATTGCAACTATTCAGGACGTAGTTACTAGTTACTTCCATAGAGAATTTCAAAGTTAGACTTGCTCCATAGGAATGTCCAGGTTCATTCAGGAAAGGCTGAAAGCTTCGCAATGTTCATTGGATGTATCAGTGGTTACCTTCCATATGAGCTTATTCATGAACAGAAGTTGTTGGAAAGGTCTTCTGCACCTTTTTTTCACTTTAACAAGGTCCCGATTACCAAAATCTTTATTATGTGCACCCAATATTACTGCACAGAGTATTGCCACCTGCAATCCATTTTGTATTACATGAAGTGAATATTTATCTCAAGAAAAATGCAGATACATTTTGTATTCTATACAAGGGTTGGAGAAAGTCACAATGTGATCGACCATTGTTTACAATTATCAATTCGAATAGGAGGAATTCCTCTTTCTTATAATTGATAGGAAGAAATCATTGATAGCCTATCATGCGTCATGACTCTATACTATGAAACTACATTAGTTCGAACAAGAACTAGTCATCCTTTCCATTGAGCAGAATACATGCTAGAGAAAGACATTTCTGGAGCGCATCTAGTTTACAAGTTTCATTTATCTAGGCTTATGTGAAAAATAATTGAGGATGTGGATGTATTGGGCTGCAGCAGTTAGAGCTATATATATATAACCAAAAATCATATGTACCTGAGAGGACTAGGCTATACATATTGATTTCCAAGTGAGAGAAGCCTGATTGACCATTAACTGCTATAACATAACATTATATAATTATATTCTTTCATGTAAGTTCATGCGTTCTTTGCACTTAATTAGTTTATGCATTTGCAGAACCAAAGTAATCGAGCCTTGAGATTGGATATTAGTGATAGAACTATGGTTGTGGTTAATTTGATATGTCTCAAGCAAAGATTGAGCTTTTAGAGAGAGAGAGCGTGCGCGCACGCGTGTGCCCGTTTATCTTGAATCCTATTATATACTTTGGTTAAAGCCCTTTAGCATTCATTAGTTTCCTTAATAATTACCCCACCACCTTGTTCAAATGACTGTAATAGCCAACCATCACAACAAATTAGGGATTGGTTACTTTTAGATTATTCATGAACTTTTTCCTGATTATGATATCGTGTATGGTCAATTGTATGTTGATCCATATTGAGTATGGCATCTTAGAATCCCTATTTTTTCTGAGAGCATATTGCACCAGGTTATTTTTAGAAAAATACTTCAGAATTTTTTGTGAGAGTATCTATAAGGAAGTTACGTTGCTCCTTTCTATGTTTTGATAAGCAAGTTACAGGAGAGTGGAGTGACAATAGAGCACCAAATGAGGAATATCTGGACAAGTGGGGTTAGAGCAATACTCGTGTATATTTAGTCATTTAAACAAAATGTAATGCTTTACAATCTTTTACCTAATACACTGAGTAATTACCTTCCAAAAATGTCTTGCAGAATTTAATTTTTCATAAACAAATTCCATTTCTTTTGTCCACATTCGAACAACCATTATGTTATCTCTTTCCTTTAATGTAACGTATGAAGACAACCATAGGAGAAAAGGCACCTAGAAACTATCGTCACTGACACGTGTGCACAGGCTGGATGCATGCATACAACGTGTGTAATGAGATTCATCTTTTTATCTCCGAGAGTTTTATCCACACCCCCAAAAGGGCACCCACTTAGCCCGTTCAAGGTTGCTGTTGAGATCTAATCTAGAGCTGTGAGGTTTAAAGCAATATTCATCCACAGTCTACATTCAAGATAAGGTACAATGCTTTGCAATCTTTTTTAATACCTTCCATAAAATATCATATAGAATTAATCTTGCAAGAACTCACTCCAATCCCTTGTCCTCAGTCAACAATCCGTGTGGTTTCTTGCTGCTCATAAATTGTTTCACCATTTGTGTTTTTTCTTTCCTTTCCTAGAGCATATCACCAACAACCATTAACAGAAGGAGAAAAAAAATCACCTAAAAACATTGCTGCCGCGACACTCACCGCCAATCTGCATTGTTGATCATGGCCTCAGACCCGAGATCTCGTAGTTACCTCAGGATGTTTGAGAGCCAGTGGGACAATGGTCACGCCTTTCTCCTGATTGGCGCACGTTCATCTATCTCTCCTCTTCCTCTTCCAAACCATGGCCCTGGTATTGGAAATCTAAAGCTATACATTCTTGAGAATGTTAACCTGCTTGATCCTTCACATGGCACTACGAATTGGATTGGGCCTTTATCAGAATCGACTATAGAATATCGTGAAGATATCAACAATCTTGCTTCCTCCCTGGAGCATACGCAATCTTGGAGGGATATACAAGCGAGGATTGATGCAATCCCTACCCTCCCAAGCCTCGCTGCCACATACATCAAGCAGGTTATTTTTCAGAAAATCCGTGACTTTGTGACAGGATGGTCTGCTGTATCAGCAATATTTGCCATAAAAGTAAATACTGATATGCTACCAGAAGAGTATATTGCTGCTTTGTCTGAGAGGCTACCTCAAAATCAAACCATCAGAGCCTCAGATGAAGCAATAGCAAGATATCTAATTGCTTATGAGGTTGCAAGCAGTGGCGACCGATGTACAATATGCTTAAGTGGCATAAGAACTGGAGAAATAGCTGGGCAGATGCCGTGCAGGCATTTTTTTCATCGGGATTGTATCACAACGTGGCTAAGGGTGAACAACAGCTGTCCGCTTTGCCGAAATACGTTACCGAGAGACTGTAAGTGTTTTAGATTTTTTCCATGAGTAGCTCTTATTGTCTATTTTTGCTTAGCTGTTTGCTTTCTCTTTCTCTATATATAGAAATGTTATGATTATTTTTTTAGGTTCAAATAGGGAAGTTTGTTATACTAATCTAACTGTACAGTTGTCTGAAAAACAATATGTGATCATGTATCATTCCTCACATCCTTTTAACTTGAGTTTATTTTTTATTATTATTTTATTAAAGTAAGTTTTGTTGCTAATGATTTAATATATCTGTTTCTAAAGTTGAATAGTTACTTGGAAACAATGAAACAGGATATAAGCTAATTTAGTTCAATGTTTTTAAGCCAAATTTGTTACTTGTTATCATTTTTGTACTAAACAAATGTGCGTCGTGGTTAAAATTATAACCCATAACTCTTTTTGTGGATATTTGGCTAACAAGGTTCAGTCCTACGTGATCCAACAGAGAGTTTTTAGGAATCTGGAGCTATTCAAATGTGTTTACTCATCAATTTGCTTTTTTCTATCTCAACTTTCATCCTTCGTCTGTCCTTTTAAGTACTTTATAGTCATGATTCGATGAATGCTTTAGCCAAAGTAAGCCACGACCTTGATAATGTTCACAATTAGTAACTCCTTTCATTGTCTAGTACTTATTTTAGTGCTGTGCAGTTTAATGTTTTTAAGTTGTAGTAATTATTTCTCTGTCTTGTCACTTTCAAGCAACATCGGTTGTAACCTTTGATTTTTTGTTGTTGTTGTTTACTAGGACTATGTAGAACCCTTTTCTAATGCATTTATTTACCACCACATAATCCAATAAGCTACTAATTATTTGGTAAGTTGAAATGTTTTCTTTTGTTTCATTGTGGGATGTACCTTTTCCATCTCTAGGTCTTTCTTCTCATAGCTTGATAGATGAAGTCTAGTTATACATAATTCATGCATTTAGTATGTTGTTGTTGTTTATGTTGAAGGATGCCCCCTGGAACAGGACATCGATTGCGGTGCTCCAATCTGCGATCAATGTAGAGGCGTGGAGAAAGCATCACCGGAAACACATGACTAGATATTTCCATTTGTTGTAGACCAAACGATCACTAGACAATGTGGAAACCCTGAGAAACATGTTCAAACTTAAAAGAATAGGTTCCTACCACAGAAAAATAGAACACAAGCACAAAGACATGAGGATTTACATGGTTTGGCAATCACCAACATCCACGCGAAGATATTTGAGTCTTCTTTATATCAGAGATTACAAAAAACAATCTATTCTTGTGTTCTTAAACGAATCCACAAGAAATCCTTTCTCAATGTCGCAGAAAAATCTCTCAAAATTCTAGATTTCTTTCCTTAGTTCTCTCTACCTCTCTTTCACTATATGCAACTCTTCTTGACTTTCCTATGGCTTGATTTACGATGAATCCCTAAATGGGTATTAAAGACTTCTCCTCATATCTTGAATTCGTAAAGGGCACCTTCATTGACTTGAATTATCAATTCTAAGCCTTTTCCATTTAAATTTCAATTCCAATTGAAATTGATTCTTTCCTATCAAATTCAATCCTCCATCTAAGTCCAATTAGGATTTCATGATATACTAGGTTATTTCCCAATAGTTTCCGTTTGTATATCTGTCATACCTAATGAGATTTATGTTTAAGTTTTTTTATTTTATATGTTATTTAATCTAGAAATTTATTATTATTAAATTTGAGAATTCTTTAGGCATGAAATTAAGCTTAGTTTAATATGGATAGTGATTGGTTTTGTATTACTCCAATTTTAGCTTGTTCAAGATTGTTCATGTGGCCTCCTCGCCATTGCTCGAGAGCTCATTCAACCAAGTTATTATTATTTAGAATTTAAAGACCGATTTTTAGCCACAGATACAAGATTATCTTCTAACATCCGCTATTATGCAATGACAAGAAGTGCTAATGTTTCTATCCATCAACGAAGTTGCGGTACTTCATGAAATTGAGTTGCTTAAAGTATATGGAGAAGAAGATTGGAGGCTAAGGATGGCAACAACATCTTATTGTATTTGTACAAGATTGATTGTGCTGAAGGGAGTAAGTGGGTTTGTAAATCTTTTCGTTATATCTTATTGCATAGCCAGGTGAAACAAGGGGCACTATGCTTCCTGTGTTTGATGGAGCATCGACTAAGTTGCATGATGTAGAACACTAGTTAGCATGAGCCAGTATTTGATGAAGCATCGACTAAATTGCATGATTAGAGAGAGGAAGCAGAGTCCAAGTATTAATGAAAAAGGATTCGATCATTGTCCCAACCTATAGTTGAAGATCATGATGATGGACCTTGTTTTAATATTGATGATTGTCAGTTTGAATCTTACTTATCTGAAGTAGACATCAATTCTGAATTTGAAAAGAATGTTAGATCGTTACAACATCACATAAAGGGAATGTTCATTTTGTTGTGTGATTAAAGGGTCAAAAAGCTCTTTTTTTAAACCAAAAGTGGACTATCTCAACATTTGGTCTTTATAAGCAAGGTTTTAAATGTCGGATGTCGGGTTCATGTCGGATGACTAAAATTCATGTCGAATAGCGAAAATCGGGGATATATCGGGGCACGTTGACTAAATATCGGATTGCCATATCGAGTAGTGCGCATATGTATAATATCATGTCCTAAATATGATCTATGCATTCATAAATTTAATATAAGCATACTTTATAAATTCTATAGACTAAACATATAAAAAAGTAAATAATATATGTATTTGGGTTTATAAATTCTTTCTATCGTGTTCATAAGAAACCCTTAAACATGAGAACGGGTCAAACAGGTTTGGGTATTTATCACTAAATCCAAAACCGATAACAAAAAATAGATCTTAAAAAAAAGTACCATATCGACCGATTTTTCAAAGCTAAAAAATAGGCCAATATGTCCGAGATGACCCTGATATTTTCGATTTGACCCTGAAAACCGACATACGAGTTAAAAACGTTCATGTCGTGTCGGTCAAGCCCTCAAACCGATATGCCGACCGACATGTCGGACATATCGGTCGATATTTAAAACATTGTTTACAAGCGTCAAATGCAATTTATTCATACGTGGAATACTCCATGAATGTAATTCATAGGAATTTAGATTCTTGTACATTCCTGAGAAACTAACATTTCTGCATATGGCATATCAAAAATATTCCTAATGGCATGACATTTTTGAGCAACTTTTCTAACTTACCTTATAAAGAAATGTGACACAATATGGAAGATATAGAAATGGACCCAACATTGTCACATTCTCGATGAGAATGCTGCTCATCCGTGTTTTAAAAGAAAAAGGTGAGGTTAAGGCGATGAGGTCCTATGTTACCTGAGGCGAGAGGCGCCAAAAGCCAGTTGCCTAAGTGAACCAATGTGATAAATGTTTTAAAAAGCTCATAAACATTACAAACAATACGTAAATATCAATGAATAGCAATAATATAAATTAATCATAGCCAAGTTTTCAAAGTCATATATCTAATAAGTCGTAAATCGTCTAAGTGAGTAGTAATTATCAAATATTGAATATAGTATTATTAACTAGTAACTCTTAACACAAATAATTATGTAACAAAATTTTAACCTAAGGTTCAAGTTGTAGCATGTCCTCAAGATAATATAAGTAGTAAAGTACATCCCAACAGAAAAAGCAAACAATCGACAAAAAAAACGACATGCAACAATAAAAACAAACTTCACTTTATAGGTCACTTTTTGCACCCTCAAAATTTGAAGAACCGGTAAACACCTAGTGCCTTGCATCGCATGCCTTAAGGGAGCAATTGAGGCGTAAAAGCGAGGTCATGAGGCATCAAGGTGAGCTCTTGAAGCGCCAAAAGGTGCTTGCAGTAGTAACCTTCATCGTGTGGTTATATGCAAGACGCTAAGTTATCAAATCACCTCACCTAAGCATATCAGGCACTAAAGCGCATCGCTTTTAAAACACTGATGCTGATAGAAACAATAATATCGATGAAAATTGTTTACGAAGTAATAACATTTTTGTGGGGGAAGTGACAATGTTTATAGTGAATATAACAATGGTAGTTGGTGATAGGATGTTGGAAATCGGGAAATGATGGTGGTGTTAACGAAAGATAGTAGAGAATTGACAATGATCCTAGAGACATTGAGAGAGGTAGTAAGAAAGGTAGTGAAAGTGGTAATGATGTCACAACAATTATATGAGGGAAAAAAGGTAGTGGGTCAGGAAGTGAATGTGTGGTATCTGTCATTGTGGTAATGTCATAATTGATTCTAATGGAGAGGTTGCGGCAACAATTATAATGTGCTGTTCTTGGTGATGCTTTACAGTGGTAGAGAGGACCAGGAAAGGATGAGAATAAAAGGGTTAGAGAAAAATGATAGATGATTTTGTAACAACTTTTATTAGGATTCAAAGTAGATGACATGAAATCGCTAGCCATCACTAAGGAATAAAATGCACATAAAATTTTGGATACAATGGTACATCAAAATTCTCAGGCATTTGTGTTCCAAATGTAAACAATGAGTGATTCGCTTCGCAAATGATTAAAAGATGTACACTCTAATTTTCCTTCATGGTTGTACTCGTCGAGGGTATGAAGTTAGGTTATGAGGATTTCTGTCTTTTATAAATAATAGAAACATATAATAAAATGAGATGGTGAGCTCATATTCTTATCATGAGCTAGCCCACCAGGCTAGGCGAAACGATAATCGGCAGCCCCCATTGTGATTTGCACTCACCATGATCTATATTTAGAAAAAATTATGTTGTTTTGAAATTTCTGATTATTGTTTTAGCTATATGTAGAAGGGATGACTGTTAAATTGTCTGAAAAATCAACATAGCAAACTAGTTTGATTCATATTTTAGAAGACTCAAAATTATGTGAGAGTTTTACCATATACATTTAACGACGTGTTGAACAAGATGTACGACGCCGATCATAAATTTGGTGAGCCGATTACTATAGCTCACCATAAGATGATA